TATGTAAAACTGCGATTTAAGGGACATAAGAAAAGTTGTTAAAATACACTGCTGTATATCTGGGCCTGAAACCAGACACCTCCAAGTTTTCACTTCAACTAAATTTCTGCTTTCTCCTGGCAAGAATTTAACAACTTCTTGCTGTTCTTGCCATGTTTTTAGCTATTACTTCGCCTAGTTCTTACTCTTGAAACGAGTGAAATGTCCGCCATTTTTGTTTTCACAACCAAAACAACTCAACCTCGTCCCCAGGTCTTCTCGGTTAATGGTGCATTAACCTGAAAGAAGGCTGCACTTTTGACGTCATCGGTTAATTAATCGCAAAATTCCTCCAAATTTAGTCATCAGTAGCTGATTATGGTGAATTATGCGAGTGCTTTTAGCCAATCAGAATTGGGGAAATATTTTGAATGAATAATAATTAACAATTATTCCTCGAGCCGGAATGGGCTCTGAGTCAATAGCCCACGAGGCAGAAGGCCGAATGGGCTATTGACTTTGAGGCCATGAGGGCAAGAGGAATAATTGTTTTAGTAAAATCCAACGAGTTGGTCCAAAATATCGAGAATAAAAAACATTTAGGTGGTTAAAGCTAGACTTTAATCCTTTCTTGCCCCCCAAAAGCCCGCGCTTTTCGCTACTAGTGGGCTATAACATAAAGAACCAAGAACGAGAAATCCAAAGACTACTGCAAAGCTGATTTAAAACAACGTGTATTGTTTTTTAGAAGGCTGGTATGGCCACAGGGGCACCCAACGAATATTTTTCTGGAAATGAGCCGTTAACTACAGAAAACGAAAATTTAGACGCTTTTAAGGTATTTTCAAGCGCTTTTCTGTGTTGCTGGAAAGAATTTATCTGTTCCTCACTCCCAGCAGGTTAGATGGCTATTCTCCCAGCCAGCAGAGCGGCCTTTTCCTGGTTTACCAGCCAGAAAAAAAAAATGTCTGTACTCAAATAAGCGCCGCAAGATTGCTTGGAAATTGCGGCGCTTATTCGAGTATATGCGGAAAAAATACATACCACACGGCCGTATCTCTCGCTTGTCAACCAAGAATAACAACAACTACAATGAAACAGGAATGTCACTAAGCCTTCCCGAGATGTACCTTTTGTGAATTCTATTCAGTCCAACTTGAATAAAATACATCAGGCTGTTTAATAGGTTTTGACAACGGTGAGCCGCCAAAACCCGAATGTTTTAAACAAGAATTTTTTTAACAGTTGTGTAAAACTGTTATGTAAGATGGACGAAAAGAATGCAGTTACCAAGAACATGCAAATATTACACTTTAATGTGACTATTGGTAACCTTAAGATACCTCTCCTTTACACCCCGATAAGTTTGTTCTGCAGTTGGTGCTTCCACAAAAAACCTAAAACAATACGAACGGGATGGGAAAATAAATTTTAATTCGGTCATTAATATCATAGGCCTAGGCCATACTTCGATCTTTTCATGAGACGAACAAAACTTAGTAAGTTTAGTTCGACGTCTGGCTCAGTTAAGCCTTTTTTCGTCTAAATGAGTTTGTACCGTCTAACACGTTCTATCCGTCCACTCGTCTGAAGATCGTCTTCGGGACAAACGCCAATCTTCACATGCGACAAACTAAACAAGTTAATAAAAAATTTGTCTGATAATGAATATTCAACTTCGTTGGGCGACAAAATTTATTAAAATTGCTTTTTGGTCTTAAGTTCGATGCCCTCTGACTCAAGAGACAATGTTAACTTAATTTAAGTCGACCTAAATAAGAGTTTGGTTCGTCTAATGAAAGGTGGACGTTTGGCTTAGGCCTTACAGCGTTCAGGGATCAAATGCAAATTACTTGTTAGTTTTATCTCGTTTCATCGTGCTTTTTCTTTTTAATTAACAAAACTCTGATGATAACAAGTTAAGAAAATAGTTTTCCGCCCAAAGTTTTGCCATGAAACTACAGACATTAGACAAAAGAGTCATCAAGAGTTAGTCAACTTGAAGCACTACAGTTTAATCTCCCTAAACGAACTGTTCGCACCGAGCCTAAAACAAGCATCTCAAGGTGGTCCCATTCCTTTCTTCAGTAACTCAAGACCGACCCTGTTTCCAATGTTGTATGTCTTCGCGAAAGTGGACTTCATGCCACTATGTTCGGTAAAGCCTGTTTCAAGCGTCGTGCAACTGCCGTGCTAAACTAGCTGCATGGTTTCAGTCGTGTCAAATTTAACTCAGTCGGATAAAATAGCTGTTGCAGAAAACGAGAAGTACATGTAAAAAAAGCGGTTTAGTGAACTTTTAAAATGTATTCTGATGTATTTATAATTTATGAATTGAGTTTGGCACGGTAGAAGCGCGACGTGCTGCACGCCAGTTGCACGTACTGAAGTCGAATTTAATTTCAACAATTGAGTTCAGTCTGGCAGTAGCACAACGTTTGAAACGGGCCTATTAAGAGTCTTATTTACACTAGCGCTAATTGTTTTTTGACAT